AAGGTCCTGGGTTCCAATCTGGGCCTTTCTATCAGGAGTTTGCACATTCTACTCACACATGTGGGTTTCCTGTTGGTATGCTGGTTTCCTTTCACAACCCTATGAACATTAAGGCTATGACATACTCTCCACATTGATAAATACAAGCTTCTGGAAGCTTACAGAGAGGCTGTCCCTACTACTTTTAGGACAGCTATACCGTTGCATTCCTTCCAGAGATTATTTTCTTTTTGTGATATATGAAGCTTAATTTGTATGTAACAGACACAGAGACGGAAAGGGAGCTGAGAAAGGGAGAGGGGATAGGAATTAAGTGGAGAGAGAAAGATACAGAGAAAGGGAAGAAAGAAAAAGAAAAACAAACAACATGGGAAATATACAGCGACTCCTAGAAGTCTGTCCCCAACCTGCATGAAACAAGAGGGGAAAAAACAGGGAAGAAAACAAAATTAACCAAAAAATAAAACACTTGCCCCAATGACAGTGAGTATCCCATAGGCACCTAGTCAATCTGTGCATATATTAGGCAAAAACTATGATGTCTACACAATGTGGTTCAGAGTAGTACATATATGTAGCTGCAGATTAGTATTTGGTGTTTACCCGAGGACACCTGGAACAAAGCACCTGTGGTCTATATGCATGAGTATACGTGTATATGTGCTTACAAGGCTTCTTCAATAGAGGGTATCAATAGCAGGTGTGAGTCTTTATTGGCAAGAATGGGCTGCTTGTATGCTGCAAATATCCCAAGCTTTAGAGAAAAAATATGATCATAAATAAAAAATGTATAGATATATCAAAACTTGGAAAAAAGGAGATTTTTTTACTGATTGTATTTATCTAAAAGAAGTGTTGTTGTTGCTTTTCTCCCTGCTCATTACCTGGTGCTTTTGTTTAACATTTAACATGTCCAGGATGTAAATAACAGGATGTAAATTTAGAAACTATCATGTTATTTCAGTGTGTCATATTGTGAGAATCTCATACAGGCCCATGGCTCAATTTTATAATTGTATTAAAGTAGTGAGTGTAGGCTTATATTTACATATTATCATTACTGGAGTGTCAGAGGGCTGCAGGTTTGTTAAAAGTGAAAAGGCCAGATTCTACTGTCCACAGTTTGAGTGGGGATAAGAGTGTGCAGCTTGACCCAGGATGGGTCGTCTTGTGCGTGGGAAGTGGTGAATGACAGATATGGTTGTGGAGGGGGGTATTGATCAGGTGCTGTGGCTCAGGCTAGCTAATGGAGTGTAATTAATGACTCTATTTACTCTGATAGAAAAGAGAACAACTCAGCTTGATAGTGACAAAGAGCTGTAGTAACAGGTGAGTGGTCTTCATGTGGCCGTGTAGAAAAAAACATTCATTTGATTGTGCCAAACTTTCAGAGTTGATGTTTGTTTCTTACAGTATGCAGGAGCTGGTGCATATTTTTTTTAAAGAAATTAGTACGAGTTAAAAAGATATTAACTATTAAAAAAGGTTGGGTTTGTTGCATGAAGTAATGAAAATGATTTCTACCTTACCAATTTTTTCTTCCAGGAGCTCATATTGTAAGATATTATGAAAAAAACAACGTTTTTAAAGAATTAAATGGTACAACAAGGTAAAGGCTTAAATTTTCCATATATTAAAAAAAAAAAAAAAAAATTTCCATATATTTTTTACCTTAAAACATGAAATGGCTTTGACAGCACTTGTTACACTGAATAGTTTTAAGATAAATACCATAGCAAAATACATATCTTATTAGCTGTTTTAGAATAGATCAATGTCAACCTTTAAAATATTATAAATTTGATTGTTTTATGCTCTTAGAAAAAACAGGGAAGAGCAATAACAGAGCAGTTGACGTCACAGCATGTATGGAAAAAAGTGACAACTAACATTATCTGGTGAAAGATTTGCTAATTATACTCTCAAGCCAGAATACATCACATACAACGGCATACACTTGATGGTATAAGTTCCTTTCCACATATTTAGACATTTATTATATGAATTTAGTATTTATTGCAGTCCCATTTTGAGTGACAATGTTACATTCTAGTTTTTGGTCTCTTGGTTATTATATCGAAGCTTTTGCAAGATGTCGTAGAAATTTATCTGCTATCAATCTACTATGTACTAAACAATCAACTATTCCCCAGTACACATAACATGTTTTACATTTGCCTTAGTAAAAAGCTTAATATTCTTAACAACAACATTAAGAATATTTTCCAATGTGGAAGTGGCAACGTTTGATTCCTGTAATATTCATGCTAGTTACATTTTTGCCTACATTAACATAGTAATTAATGTAGTATCTATATCTCTGAGATTATATAAATACTACAGTAAGGGTCTGATCAATTTCAATTCAAAAACATAATGAGCACTGAATTGCTTGTGCTCATACAATTGGTAGGTGTATTGCAGGTAATTTTCTAAAACTGTAAGAGCAATTGCTGACAGGTGTAAAAGCATTGCAGACCACCCTGTGTAACTGAGGATTTGGTGTATTAACAAATTGCCTGTCACAAGAAAGGAGGGTAGCAGAGTGGTGTTTTTGTACCTCCCAAAAGTAGCCTCAATTTGCATCAGCACTGCTTGCAGATCATATGAGTTATTATTACATGGAGAAAATGCAGTTGTGTTACTTTGAGGCATTAACACCCTTACTGTTTGGAACCAATCAAGCTCATTGTTTCAATTTTTTTTAAATAATGTTTAAAACAACTCTTCAGAAACCCCCTACGTTTGTATTGTTTTTCTTTTATTAAAGAAAGTATCATGTTTTTAGTTTACAGAAAAAAGGGAAAAAGTAATTGGTTTGCCAGCAGAGGCTTTCCACAACAAAGAAGTTCATTAACTGCATCAAATAAAACAGAAGACAAAGCTTTTATTTTACTTTCTCTGACCAAAAAATGATAACTCCTAATACATAACTTAGATAACGAGATGACAGACTGTGCTTTTCCAGTAATATAGGTGTGTGAAGAGTGGCCATAAGATCTGAAAATGCAGAGTGAAGCTTTTTGTTTGATATGAAAATATAATTTAAGAATGATTTTTACCACTGATGAACACAGATATATTTAATAAAAGAACTCCTTCATAGATATTCCACTGTAATTCGTTAGATGAATAATTAGCTACGTTTGCAAGCTATTTTTCCCCTTGTTTTGATGACAGTCATAATATGTTGACATCGCACAGAATGTGCTCTCTCTCCATATTCTATTATTGCATTTATGTCTCCACAGTGATGGCAGATATTTTTGCAAACCTGTCTGATTTCAAATGTAACAGAAATAGATGCAAAAACTGCATCCACAGTCCATTTCATGTTTGATAAATCACATTGCAGATAGTAATTGTATTTTCCTATCCTCCTCCCAGTATTTATCATGTTCTGATGATCAGTGTATGCTTTACATTTTCATAAAGCCAAACATCCTACACAGGCTGTACCTGCTATTTTCGTCATTTAATACACTCCATTCTGGTTTTGTCAATTTCCTGATTTCTGATCTTTGTTTTTGTAAGAGAAATCTCCTGTTTTTTACCATTACACCCATATGAAAAATAGTAAAGGTAAAAACATCCCTCTTCCTATGTGGACATTATCAGCATGTTGAAAGAGAGCTAAACCGTACACAAATACAAGGTTTTCATTAATGACCTTCCTATATGTGTGTTATTTAGACTCATAACTGATTTGTAGTGAATTGACTATAACACACACAGGGAACTGAAAATAATATAGAAGAAAAGCTTCAAATCAAAGGGTCTATGAAATTGTTTGAAAATTTCAAATGATGAATCATTATTTTTAGCAGCAAAAAGGTTACCAGACAAATCATTGCTTCATAATTTTGCAGCTGTCAGCACAGATCTAGTTATGCACATTTTGCAGACTCTCAGACACACACTCCTTCTCTCACTCCATTTTATAGCTCCTCCAGCTCGTCTTTGGAGAGCCAGGTTCATCCTCTGACCCTGACAAAAGGTCACAGAGCTGAATGGAAAGGCACTAACCCTTCCAAATGGTGCTATCGCCCAGACATGATTGATCAATTGAATTCAACGGCGGGGGAAAACGTGGGATTAAGTAGAGTATTATACACACAACGAGTTGAGGCATGATGTTCATTTCGAGTTCATTTCGGCTCCCTCTTGCCACCAGATCAGGCAATCAATAGCAGGGCCTTGCATATCATATATCACTGCTCTCCCGCTGAGGGAAGAACATAATCTGCAGCAAATTTAGAATGACAGATTTGTAAGGGAGCTGAAGCTTTTCTTGGATTCTGGGGGAACTACGTTACAGCCAGTGATAGGGGTGGTGGGGTTTGTGAAAGGACTGCCAGTAAAAACGTTTAAAAGATTTGCACACAGCGATAAAAGCTAAGGTATCCTCTCTTGAACAGCAAGGTAATCAGGTCAGGAGTCAGGACAAAATTCCCATGTTTGGAGAGTAGGGATGATTGAACTAGACTGTGCAGTTTTATTCAGCCTCTTGTTCTCTGCCTCTGCTTCCAAATTGAACTGCATGCTCAGAGAGAATAAAGGCACAATTGAAATGGAAAAGGAGGATTGTACTTTAAAAAGTCCCCTTATTTTAACATACATTGGGCCCTTTTCAAGAGGAGAAAGGAAGAATGAGGTTTTCAGGCGGGAATGAAAGTTAATAAAATCACTTTAATGGGCTCACTGGTCTTTAATCATTTCACACGCTTGCTTCAACAATTATATCTGCACAAGTGACTGCAATCTATCAATTACCACAAGCACCTCAGACGACTGTGCTGTTAATTTTGTGCAGGGAAAACTACATGTGATGTAGCAACTGGTTAACAGCAACCGTTTAGGTGAAAACAATCACCACCCACCTTATTTTTAGGTGAGAGCCCCTTTAGAGGGCTACATGAGGAGAATATAAAGTGCACAGCTTGAAGTGAAGGCCAGCTTCCCGGGGTCAGTGTCTCGATTGTTGCTCTCTCTTCTTGTAGATGGTTCAGATGGTTCTGGCCCAAACAGTGATTCTCAGGGTAGCGTGGAGAGTTTACGGAAGCACCTAAGGGCAGACGCCTTCACACAGCAGCAGCTGGAAGCCCTGGACCGGGTCTTTGAGCGCCCCTCGTACACGGATGTCTTCCCCCCATCGGATCATGTCAAACCGGAACAGGTTAGTCTCCACTTTTTCACATAAACACACAAAATATAATGCAAATATACTGTGAAGTAAACAGCTAATTTAAAAACCAGCTAGAAATGGCTAAACACAGAACACAGTCTGAGCTTGTATAATACTAGAGGGATCAGCAGGAAAACTCCCACATGTTATTGATTTTGTAATGAAAAACACTTTCCTTGTACCTGCTGTAATTGAGAATAACAGTGAAGCAGCATGAAATGAATCAATATCTAGATTTTCTTTAGTTTTTATAGCTGTTTTTACCTTTGTTGTTTACAGTTCTGCCTTATGTGTTTATTTGTGAAGGCTAAGCATGGTCTAGCAGAAGATTCTCATGGAATAATGACTTAAAATAAAAATACCACTTTTATTTAGAATTCAAAACCTAAACTTTAGTAAAACTTTATGAAATGATTTAATTACTTACATTTAAACTATCGCTGCTACTGATAAAATTGCATAGATCAGTTATATTAGTATAGAGATAAAACCCCAAATATATCTAGTTCCACTGATTACTTTAAGTTCCGTTTTATAAATTTAATGCTGATTTACAAGGAAAAAAAAAACATCTTCAAATTCCAGTAAACTGGATAAATTGTTTAAATTCATATCCAATTACATGTGTTAAAATTATTTTAAAATAAATAAAAAAACATTCTATAAAATTCAGTCATATATTCCCATTCATGTATGAATAAAGTCTAATCTAATCCTGCTTATAACACAATTAAATCAAAGTAAACTGGTTGTTTCTTGCCCGAGTTTGGAGATTGAGAGGATATAATTTAAACCAAGAGGAGAAAATTATTACCCACCCAATTTTTTTAATCACAATGAGATTCATCTTCATGCGCCAGGTTCCTGAACAAATAAGGGACTCTTTAAAACTCTGTATGCATATATATATATATTTAAAAAAAGACAATAATAATTGCAAATATGCACAATGCTGACAAACTGAATACAAGGAAAGCATATCTGAAAATCTTATGAGTTAAGACAACGTGTATTTCTTTTTTTATTGAATATTAAGCTGGCCGTCGCAAAGGGCAAAAGGGTTTAACAATGTATTTTTCTACATTTTCTGTTGTTATTTTGTTTTTGTTTTTTTCTTTAGGAATTTTTTATTTTCTGAGATTTTTGTTGTTGAGATGGTTTGAAACTATATCGAAAGCTAAGAAGCAAAACAGCCAATCTGAAATATAAGGCTATTATGTTGCAACTGTTTAACTGTTTTCTAGTTAAGTTTTTGTCAGCTTTTTGCATTCTTGTTTCGTTTTTTTCTAATCAGGTTGGGTTTCGGTCCCAATAGACAGTTAATATTAATTTCCCAAAATAATTAATATAAGCTACTTTGTTTATTCTGAGCATTTGAAGTGTATCCCATTTCCCTGAAAGTCAGGCATATAGGGAATTTTAAACTTTAGCTCTCAATCAGCATGGTTGAGACAAACTGGGGAATAATTCTCCAAACGATCTGACAGTACCTTTAGTTACATGTCTTCACATTAAAGCATCACTCCACTGCTTTCAGCATCATATTTGCATTTCTTCTTAGCAAAGTGTTGCAGCCTTTGTTCAGCCAGCCTATGGGGCAGTGTGCAGCAACACTGGATTATGCTACGTTCCATTAGGTTGTAAGAAAAAGAAGTTTAAAGTTAAAGAAATGACATGTTTGTTTTCAAGTATGGCCTACATTTTAATAAAACATTGGTACATTATAAAAAGGTAATTGGTCCATACCTAGCAGAGACAACGACTTGAGGCAGAACTTTGCAAACAGCATCCAGCACTACATATCAACATATTATTACAATGCTTTTTATGTAGAGAAAATGGATAGACATGGGAAAACTGCCAGAGTGCACTATTAAATTACAGTCAAAAAACAAATTTTATTAAAGGCTCTTGGCTTATTACCATGGATAACCTTTATTTACAGTTCTTTCATTATACTATTAAATAACAAGAGACTATTAATTTCTCCCCACAAACTACGAGTCAGACCCATAAAATAAAAAGCAGTCCCCTAATTGAGTTCATTTTAATTTCTCACCAATCGGGGCAAATTACGCAGGTGATAAATCAGTAGGACAGGCCTCACCTCCAGAAGAAGGCCTAATTTGCAGCTAATTACAAAACTGATTCCTACTGGAAGATCAATACCGAAACGAATTGGAAATGACTTGCAATCACAAAGAGCGTCAGGGAGAGTGTTAAAAGGCAGGGGGGAAAGGCTAAATAAGGGGAAAAAATGGTTACATGAGAAAAAAAGAAGAAAGTAGGTCTTGAAATGGTAGAGATAAATCTGCTTTAATTTACTCCAATATTAATCAGGGTACTGTCGCCCTTTCATGGGTGCCTCATGTTTTGTTTCTGGTTTTGTTTTTTTTTCTCCCCTGGAAAACGTGGCCCTATTAGCCAGTGTCTGGGTTCTGTTGCGAGGAGCATTAAAAACCCATTCTGGAGATGCAAAACTCAATGGATTCACCCCTCCCACACTTCTGCCAGCCATTTGGTCATCCCTTTCAGACCCATCTTTTCACTTCCATCCCTCCTGCCCTTTATCTGCATGATAAAACGTCTGTGTGGCGTCTGAAGCCTGCTAGAATATAGCCAAACATCCAACATTATGCCAGCGAACAGTTGTTGCAGACAATTAGAGTTTATCTGTGATACTGACAGACAAGAGAAGGGTCAGGGGCATCCCGCCCTGTGGGAGCACAGCCCACCGAGCCGCTTACACTTGACTTTGGATAAGCATTGTCAACACTAAGTGTCCGGAAGTCTCATCTCATTAAAAAAACCTGCAAACATTTGACATTGGTTTCTTTTTGAGACAAAACAAAGAGACAATTTCAACATTCTGCTTTATCACTATTATTAAGGGTTATTTGTTAACAATGAGATTAAATAATTTGATTTCAAAACTTCAAAAAAGTTTTAGATGGAGAGATTTTCCCTCAAAGTAAAATCTATGTAGAAAACAGGTGCTAATACTATTTAGAGTCAACATCAGGCATATTGTTTTATTTATGGTACATCTTATTAATAATGAAACTGAAACATAATTAACTACAAGTTCAATTATGGTAAAAGGGATACATTTATTCCATCTGGAGATTTTAAAACCTCAACAAATAAAAGAAATGGTTTTGAAACAAGCTGTTATAAACTTAGCAATTAGCTCACTTACTTCTAGAGAAAAAAAAGATATGAGACAAGCAAACACGACAGGAATAATCATTTTTTATGATTAAATTTGAAATATATGTTGTTTTTTCTCTGTAAGGTGGTACTGTTAGAGCTCTAGAGTAAATCAAAAGCTGTGCATGCAGTTATCTCATTTATTTTATTTAAACATGGTTTAGAATCCAAATTAAGAGCCACAAGCTAAAGGAAAACAATGAATTGTATTTTTTTTTAAATAGGACCACATGGTGTGTCTGTAACAAAGCAGAACTGCTTTCTCCCTTGGCTGATCAGGGGTAGGACTGCAGTCAAGCACAAAGGGCCAGCTGACGCCTTGGCTTTTCACTCATCTCAAAATCCCACTTCCTTTCTCAAACAATACCAAAATACATTCATGATATGCTTGAACTGCCACCCTGCAGAATGCACACACATGCATCCACAAACACACACATTATGCCCCACTATCCTTGCAGGGACTTTGCATTGACTTCCATTCATTTTGCATTTATTTGTACAACCTAACCCAGACCCTTGCCCTTACTGACATATAACTCAGACTAACCTTAACTTAAACTTTCATTTCAAACCTTATTCATAAACCTGACCCCCAACTTAAGAGGAGAACATTTCCTCATGGGGACCAGTTGACTGGAGTCCCCAATATGTAGCATGTTCCTGGGAAACTGGCCTTACTCTGTCCCCTCTAGGTAGCAAATCCATGGCCACACACACACACAATGCTCCTCCAAATTTATACTCACACAGGCTATTGTGGAGTGCTTAATGGAGGAGGAGAAAAGGAGGATTTCCATGTCGGTATTGTTTGGTTGTGTAATGATTCAACTGTCCTTTTTTTTTCTTTTTCCCAGGCTAATGAGTACTCGCTTCCTGTCCTGAATTCCAGCCTGGACGAAGTCAAGCCCAGTTTATCCTCTAGCGCCAACCCAGACCTGGGCCCCAGTGTGTCGCAAAGCTACCCTGTAGGTAAGATCATGTGCCACATTAACAATATGGCTTTACACTGCCAAGCTGGGTGGCAGGGAACTACAGAGATGCACCATTTAAGAAATTGTGGCTAATTTCCTCGTTTTTGTGAAGCACTGACCTTGTGGAATTCATTTTAGCTGAGTCCAATTTAAAATAATAATAATATAAGGAGGTAGGAAATACCTACAAATGGAGTTTACATGAAAGAGGTTCCAACAAATAAAACAAAGGAACATTACTGTACTTTGTTTAGTTTGACCTGCAATATATTTATAGGCTTATTTACGTCTCTTAAGTTTTAAGAGACTTAGGTTTTCATAGGAAAAATGTTTACATTTTAAATAGCTCATCACTGATAGTTAAAGCTGTTAACTTTGAGTATTTTCACTAACAGTGACCCTGTTACCACCTGTTTAAAGATTAAAGATTTAGTTGATCCAAATTACAGCAAAAGACCATTAGTTGTGCTTATTTGCTGAAATGTTGTATTGGTGTGTTCACCCATTAGATGGAGTTTTTTTATTCTCTGTCAGGCAGCTCTGAAGTTTAAAATCACCCGATTCTTGTCATTTAAGTCCCTTTCTTTGGAAAAATAGATAACAATATCAGACAGAACAGTAAAACAAGTGAAAATAAAAAAAAACAAACACATTATGCGATACTGAGCTAAAACAAAAATGGACTAATGCGAACAACTTATAGCTGCTCTCTTGTGTTTTTGCTGAATAAGCATCATTTTAAGAAAGACTGGGCACTTCTTCAGTCCCAATTGGAAAAGGACCTTTGGGTGTCAGTGGATCAGAACTATGACTATCGGAGCAAGGTCTCTGGGGAGCAAGGGAGAAAAAAAGCTACTGTGGAAGACAGTCAGCTGCTCCTGTGATTATTTTTCTTTTTTTTTTCTTTTTTCACAAGGAGGCAGTTTGTGTGGCTCAGAGCAGGAGTAATGTGCTTCGGTAAATACGCTCTGGCATTTCTGCCGCCTGACTCTAACACCATGATCATTTATTTCACCCTCCTGTCGCTCCTTTGCTCTGTTTCTTTCCCCTCCTCCTCCTCGTCTCCTCTCCTTGTCACAGTTAATGACTGCCTGGCTAATTGAAATATTGTTCCGTTGTTGCAGTGTTATTACCAAGAAGAAGGTTAAGTTTACTGAAAGTTTACGATGACTGTCGGTACCCGAGATTAATATACGGAGCTTTTTATTAAAATTCATATAATTATGCAGACGCTATCAAAGGCATTGAGTTCTGTGTGTGGTTGTGTGTGTGGACTGGTGGTGGGATTGAAAATTACTGCAGCTCTCCTTCTCAAATGATAGTCAAGAGGTCTTACAGGAAGAGAAAGAGCCCTTTTCTCATTAATATGTGGGAGGTAGATTTCTCCCCTTGTGAGGCGGGCCCCTCGTGAGAAGAAAGGTGGATGTTTGTCCTTTGTGTATGGTCCAACAGAAAGGAAACCTGGGTCTGCAGGCAGCTTTGTTTGCACCTGGAATATTAGAGATGGCCTCTGCAGAAAGGCTATCCTTACTGATTCACAGGTGCATAGTAAGAGACTGGGGGGTGGGAGACAGGCATGTGATCATATCAACATGCTGACCTGCTTTTGGTGTTAGTAAATATGCAGGGCAATATAAATATTCAATACATCACCATTTTTCTTCTTAAAATGTTTTTCAAATGATGCTGTTTTCATGAAACATACATCAGATGTCTTTTAAAGGAGAAGTTCGGTTTTTTACACTTTAAGCCCATTTTCTGTAGTGTCCAGGATGAAATCGAATGATCGACACCAAAAGTTTGACAATTGCTCCTGTCTCTGCTTTTTGGCTCATTTAGAATCCACCCCTGGCTGCTTTAGAATGGCTTGCATAGAGCATGTCCGATAATGTCCTTAAAACAACCTTAAACGTTATTTTTTTAAAATATGCTACTCACCAGGTCGTCAGCGCTGTTCAATGACGTTCCAAAAAAAAGTTTCGAAAAGAAAAAACGTTCCTGTAGTGTTTTATTGAGCATTTTGTAAATCCCATTGAGTTCTGTAGGAATAGTCAATATTCCGCTGCCACCGGAAACGGAAATGGGGCCTGTTTACACAGTTGTAGTCTTTTCGCTTCACTCTGTGTACTCCGACGTCGAGGTGCTAACGTCTCTGTTAAACACTTTAAAAAACTCTGAAAATGGAATAAGAAAGTTGGATTCTTGATTCTCGACGTCGGAGTACACAGAGTGAAGCGAAAAGACTACAACTGTGTAAACAGGCCCCATTTCCGTTTCCGGTGGCAGCGGAATATTGACTATTCCAACAGAACTCAATGGGATTTACAAAATGCTAAATAAAACACTACAGGAACGTTTTTTCTTTACGAAACTTTTTTTTTGAATGTCATTGAACAGCGCTGACGACCCGGTGAGTAGCATATTTTAAAAAAAGAACGTTTAAGGTTGTTTTAAGGACATTATCGGACATGCTCTATGCTAGCCATTCTAAAGCAGCCAGGGGGGGATTCTAAATGAGCCAAAAAGCAGAGACAGGAGCAATTGTCAAACCTTTGGTGTCGATCATTCGATTTCATCCTGGACACTACAGAAAATGGGCTTAAAGTGTAAAAAACTGAACTTCTCCTTTAACTAAGGAATCCACTCAAAACAATTCATATAAATGAGTCCACATATCAAGTCTTAATAAATAAAAGTTGCACTAAGCATGTTTTTTTTTTTTTATTAAGTAGAAAATATTCTTTGGGTAATAACTTTTTAAAACATCTCTTGTACAAAGAAACTCATAGTGTATTCGCTCAGGTGTTAATTTCTACCATTCTCAGAAAATTGTCTTGGTGCTTCTTATCTGCTCTCCTATTTTCAGCTCTTTCCAAAATGTTACACTGGATTCAGTCTGTTGATTCTTCTTTTTTAGTTTTCTTTCCCTGATACCAGTGAAAAGTTTTATCGGCTGTGTCTTTTGTTTAACTAACATGTCTTCATTCATCCTCTACTGTATCTAATTTTATATCTGCCAGTAACATAAACCGAAACACAGCCTGGCACCATAGTTCCTCCTATACCAAATTCTATTCTTGGCATGGCTTTTTTGGGGTTTACGTCCCATTATTTTTCTATAAATATGTGCAACGGCATCCATTGGGTCTTATCCTTGTTTGAGCAGACATTCTCTCTCTATTTCACATGCTTTTTAAAATTTCATTTTGCAACTTTCAATTAATTTCAACACACTGTTTCCCTAATTGTGGAGCATTGTGCAGTGTGTGCAGAGAAGCCATTGTTGTAAAGTCTCATATAACCTGATATATTAATAAAAAACTGCACCATAGTATTGAAAAAGCTCAATGAAGTGGTCTTTGTTTTCAATTTAGCTGTTTTGATCATGTTTACGCACCATTTAATGTCTGGTTTATGAACTTATGATCTTTTTACATCTACAATATAGAGCAAGTGCTTCTCTTTGAAACATTCCTAAATATGAAATATGTCTTTAAATATTGTCATCTAATAGTTTTTCTAAATTATGTTTGCCAAGGTCTATTGAAAGTGCTCCTTGTTTAGCTGTCACAGTATCTATGTAGTTTGAAACTGTTGCTCATGTTACACACTTTTCATGGCATTAAAAACTACCAGATTCTATCAGTTTTCCTGGGTTTCTATGCCTCTTTGAAGCTTCTTTTCTTTATGTGTTCAGTACTTAGTGTGGACTTACTACTTTATTGTAGTGACGTTTTTACATGGATTACTTTGTTTTGGTCTATTTAAACGAGTGGATTACTTTCTGACATCTGTGGGGAATTTCATATCAGTGAGCCTATTAGAGATATTTCTACTGAGGAAAACGATAGGTTTATCCCATGTCTGTGTTCTCACAGGAGGCAAAGACATAAAGCATCCAGAGGTCAAACTATTGGAACAAACATTGCTTTGATTCACTTGGTAATTACTATTTGGTTAGTGGCTCCTCTTCTTGGTTTCCCCCCCTTAGTGGCACTGTGGATAATGTGATATTCAGGTGTGTGGTCTCCCTAATGACTGAGTATTACAGTTTACTTGCCAGTGATAAACTTACCAGAGGAATTTTAAGCTGTGAAAAAAGGAGCAAATCATTTGCAGCATTTAGGCGAAGATCCAATTTCAACTTAATTGTGTCTTTACGGTGAAAGGAACTGGTGAGTATGTTCATCCTTAAGATGTTTTTTTTCTTCTTCTAAATGCCAATTAAAAATGCCTCCAGCGATTGATCTTGTTGATTTTATGTGTTTGAATTTGCATAATCTATTAAAATATGAATGATTCATGAACTGCACATTGCCAGAGATTGGGATTCTCAGTGAGCTGAAAGAGTTGAGAGATAGAAATCTTTTGTGTCCTCTGCTTATCCTATTAAGGCTCAAAAAGTACCTCCAATAAGAAAAGGGATTTAAGGGCATTGTGCACATCATCAAAATTCTGAGGCAAGAAGGCACTTCCATTAAAAGACTGCTTTTTCTCTCTCTTTCTCTTCCTCTCATCCACATTAATTCTGTATTACCTGCTAAATAGTCCCTCTTACCCTATAAAAACACCAAAGGGCTCCATGAATATGTGGAAAGGACAATTGCATATTGTGAGGTAATTTCTATTGTTGATATGGGAAGTCATTTCTTTGATGAATTCCCTTTCAAGAGACGGATTTCATCTCAAGTGCTTCTTATTCTTCTTCATTCAGATTGCTTAAAATTCAAATAGTGAGGGGTTGTGTGGGGGAATTGGTGAATAGCCAAACGAGGAACTCAGAACTTTTTTTGTGCATGTTTTTCAGAGAAAAATGAGGAGATGGTCCTCGATATGACCAATTGTCCACTATTTCAATAGAAAGTTTTAGTATTTTCCTGAAAGTAGTCTGAGCGTGGCCTTTTTCTTGATGGTGCTTCAGCCTCCATCTTGAGGTTGTGAGCGGTTCTTCTTGGGCTGTTGGAGGAAACTTTTATGCACCTTTACTTTTTAATTTTT